AACAAGATCAAATAAATTTGTTCATCAAAATTTATTAACTGTCTTCAATTTTCCCTTTGAAACTCATATATATTAATATACTGTTGGGACAAGAATATTGATTATTAATTTTAATAAAAAAAATATTTATATCTTCTTTTTCATATAGATTACGTGGATGGTATAATACCATAGGAATGTCTGATCAGGTTAAAAATTTATCTACGAGTAATAAAAGTGGTATTATGAATGGAGAATGGTTAAGTTTACAGGATGCGATAGATTTGTTAAATGATAAAAAATGTAGTTCAGTTATCTACATTGGCAAACTTATAGTTTCTTCCATTAGATCCGAAAACGTTATTTATAAATCATGTCCAGTTGAAGGTTGTAAAAAGAAAGTATGTAATTATTTTTATTCTTTAAATCTTCAATTATGTTATTTTAACTTTTTGACTGCTATGGACGTATATATGTGTCCAGCGAGGACTTTCGATATAGACTTTGGACACATATATGCGTTTAGCGAAAGAGTTAAAAATATATTGTTTAATAACAAATTTCTTTATTTTAAGATGATAGATCAAGCTAATGGAATGTACAGATGTGAAAAATGTAACAAAGAATATCCAAGCTTCAAGTATAAGGTTCTGGCAAGTGTATGTACTTGAATATATATATATATATAGTCCCTATTTTATCAAGAGAGAGAGAGAGATAGATAGGTAGAGTTTATTTATATTTATTAAAATTAAATCTAACATTTATTTTCATATCTATTATAGATTAATTTTTGTGATTGGATGACTTGTCAGTGGGCAGTGGCTTTCAGCGAAGAAGCTGAAAAAGTTTTAAATATAACATCCCAAGAATTAGGTGAATTAGAGGAAAACGATCACGAGCAATACTTGGAAAAATTTTCTGATGTCTCATTCAAATATTTCCTTGTGAAAATGCGTATGAAATTAGAATCGTTCAACGTTAGTAGATATTATCTGAAATACTATATACAAGGTGTCTTATATTTGGTGGTACAAACAAGAAGGGGGTGATTGTGGATGAAAAACTAAGTTAAAAATATGGAATAAATTTGTTCATAATATGACTTTGTGTTCTTGAGAAAAATAAGATTAAAAATTTGTCTACTACATGTGCTATCTCCTGCTTGCTTAGTACCACCACTTATAGGACACTGTATATATATATATATAAAAAAATTCTTGTTTAAAAAAAATGGCAATTAAAATTATTTAACATACGTATGATTTTATTTTATAGGACGAAACAAGAGTACGTGCAAACTGTATATCCATATCACCGATGGATTTTAAAACACACAGCGATGTCTTATTAACAAAACTAAAAGATATTATAGGATTCGAAAAACTTTAAATTTTCATATACATTTACTTATTGTAATCTATATATTATACTGTTTATTCATAACGATCTTTATTTAAGTTTGGCATTGAAGATATTTACATTTTGCATATCTACTTTCCTTATTTTTTGATTGCTCATTGTGTAAGACATTATTAAATAAATCCACATTTGTATTAGAAAAAAAATTTAAGTTCATCCGATATAGTAATTACATTATTTATAATAATATTTTTCGTTATATTGTGTATGTGTATAAATATTTTAATTATATTAAAATTTTTTATTTCCTGAAGTAATATGTGAATGAATTTATATGATATTTATCAAAATTAATAAATAAATATGTATGCCAATAATAAATAACACTTTCGTTTATTTATTATTTATTACCTTTACAATGTTTATCTACTTTGTTATTACATTTATAAATAAATATTCGATTTATAATTTTAATAAAAATATATTTATTTCAAAATCGGAACGTACTTTCGGGTTACTCCCAACAAAATGATTTTGATATAACCTTCAAATATACACATTTTATTTTTAACATTTTTTTATATAAATCGTATCGTATAAATAAAAAAAGAAATATAATATAAGGAGAA